TCTGTGGAGTTCACCAAAGAATTGGGGGCGCTCTCCACCCCAGAGGAAGTTTCTGCTGCATTGCAAAGGAAGGAGGGAAAACACCWGGCATTGATGGACTTCCAAGTGAATTTTATAAGACTTTCTGGTCTGACCTCTGCGTTGACATCGTGGAGGTTTTTGAGAATAGCTTTGCTGAAAGATTTCTACCTCAAAGCTGCAGGACAGCACATTGTTACAGAAGAAAGGAGATCTTCAGGATATTAAAAACTGTCTCTCTTGTTTACAGATTACAAACTGCTGTCAAAGGTGCTGGCAAACAGACTGAAAAAGTTGATGGATCAKGTTGTCCACCAAACGCAAAATTACTATGTCCCTGGTAGGTCAATGTTTGATAATATGTTGAGACATTTTGGAAGTTTAATGTTGGTTGGATTTCTCTAAACCAGGAAAAGGATTTTGACAGGGTTTTTGGGAAGGTTTGKTCTCGGCCCTGAATTTATTGCCAAGATTATGGTTCTGTATGAAAACATTGAAAGCGCACTGAAAATTAATGGCTGTTTCTGTAAACCTTTTAAAGTTACAAATAGTGTTTGACAAGGTTGTTCTTTGTCTGGTATGTTATATGCTCTTTCCATTGAACCATTGTTAAAAAAATGTTATGTCAATTAATGATGGATTGGTTTTACCAGATTTCAATATATCATTTTTTATCAGCTTATGCTGATGATGTCATAATTATTGTTTAAAAATCAGGTCAGGGAGTGTTGCAATAGTTTCAAAAAATTATAAAGGACACCCGCAGTTCATGAAAGCACATTTTGATAAACCTTTATATTACTGTCATTTTCATGTTGCAGTTATTCCAGCAGAGATATGATSATATTCTTACCGAAAGTGCCACAGATTACTCTGAAAGTGTTGATTCTGCCAGAGATACAAATGTTCACACAATATTATTTTGTACTAGAAACTATGTTACTCCCTATTAGACTTTGGTAATTTATTTTGGTCTTGGCCCCACTCAGACTAGCCATTAGCTCATCAGTTTGGTTAGAATTTATCTCTGCTTCACAGATATGATGTTTTGCTAATAAGTAACTTCAACTCAACGCTAACAAAACAGTTTGTTACCTGCGTGTGGACAAGTCTGGGCATGTTTGGTGTTTAAMTGAATTTAAGCAGTAATAAACCATCCTTAAAAAGAAGAAGRAAGAAMAAAAAGCTCTCAGASCTTTAAGTTTACTTTGCTAACATCTTGCAATTAAAGCAGCTTGTTTCTAAACTGCTAAAGCTGAGGTCACCTATAAGAAATTCATCTCTCAAAACAACAAAGACACARGCAGGWGCAAAAATATGTTGAGTCAACATGATCTATAATAAGTTGGGTAAGTTCTTATTTTTTAYGCWATATTTGCCACATTTCTTAYTTTATCAAGCTGTTTATTTATTTYCARTTTTGGCAGAATCAGTCCTCAAGTTTGAGCCTCCAAAACCAAGAAAACAAAAAGAAACTGCCCTGAAGCTCAGAAACAAATACAGCCTCAGATCTCCCAGTTTTACTGCTTATCTATAAAACACTGCATCCTCTTCAGAAAAAAAAAACAAYGCTCAGTTTAGTGTGCACACTGTGTTCCAGCAGTTTGTGTGCAACATGCATTATTAATCCATTTTCCATTCTTTGTTTGTCAGTTTCCTCAGCATGTTCTATTCAGATTCAGACAGAGCTCAGCTCATGATGGTTGGAGGTACTGCAGGGTTTTTGCTCCGGCTAAACCTCAGAATTAAAAGCTAGATTAATGAATGTGTTTTGGAATAAATTAGTGTCTTTAAATGCCTTTAAAATCATGTATGACAACAATAAACTATACTAAAATGACTTTGATAAATAGTATTTTTTGTCCTATTTTCTTTGAAATGAATGGCCTATATGTTGACAAGTTTACTCATCCCCTGCTTCCTGCTTGGTGAACTAGCATTGTGCATGAATGTGTTTTTGTTTGAGGTCTTATATGAGAGGCCCTTTAGGCCATAATTCAAACTTGCTATCAGAGCGTACTGGTTCATATCAGTATTAAGTAACTGGAGAGGTAACTGGAGTGGGGGCTGTATCCATCTCTCCCCATCAGGGACATGCAGAACAAGCGCCTCACTAAAACTTACACACACACACACACACACACACACA